TATTTGACGTATATGAAAGTAATACAGTGATGCAAGTAATACCATAAACGATTCCGAGTAAGTTCATGAATTTCTTAGAAAAATTATTGAAAAACTTATGAAAAAAAATTCAATTATTTTAATGCATTCATATTTTCTGTGCATAGCAAACCAATCTCAGTCTTTATAACCAATTATACAAATCATATTTATTTGTATAAACAGTATGTATTTATATTGTATTAAACCGTAATAGTTTAGAAGTTACAGAAAAAAATAAAGCTCTACTTTATATCTTTTGGTGTGGAAATAGTAATTTAAAATCTTCCCCTATATTAAAGTTCAAATATTCTTTATTACTGATATTGACTTTTAAATTATTTTTCCATTTACCTTATATGGAAGGTAAATAGAAATACTATACACCGGCTTCAAGTTCATTACAAACTCTCTCTTAATTTGCAACCGACGCAAAACTAACTACTAACAATTATCTTCGAAATAAATGGTAAATTATATATCGAGATTTCATTACAATCATTGAGAATAATTGTCTATTATTAACTTGATAAACCACAAGTTGGACTCATCTTATTATTCTAGTGCGCTTTCACTGACTTCTGTGCCAAATCTTAGCGAAAACTGGTTTAGGACAAAAAATCATCAACAATAATAGAAATATAGATATAAAAATAATAAAGAGAAGGTCCTAAAATCTTATTTTGTAGAAAAAAAGCAAATTTCTGTTTGTTTGATAGAAATTAATCTTTGTTTGATAGATAACACCAATATATCCTTTGAAGATGGCAGGAGTGGTATTGAAGAAGTCCAGAGAGTCCCAGAAAATTATAATAATTGTACGGAATATTAAGGTAATCCATGTGAACGCAAAATTTTCGCCAAAAATAAGCTTCAAAAGACAATACATCCCAAGTTTTTGAAACAATAATATTATTGGACAGTTCATCAATGTAGTAAATAGTTATTTTTCTTCAGGGGTGGTATAGAAGACCAGAAATTGCCAAAAAATATAAAAATAGTTTAGGATATCCAGATAATCCATGTGAAAACTAAATTTTCACCAAAATGTGCTCCAAAAGACAATATACCCCAAGTTTTCAAAACATTAATATTATAGTGGACAATTCATCAATTATATAGTAAATAGTGATTTTTCTTCAGGGGTGGTATTGAAGATCAGAAAGCGCCAAAAAATTATAAAAATAGTTCAGAATATCCAGGTGATCCATGTTAAGGCAAAATTTTTGCAAAATCAAGCTCCAAAAGTCAACACATCCCAAGTTTTCAAAACAATAATACTATAATAAATAAATAATGGACAATTAATCAATGGCCCATAGTAAATAGTGATTTTTCTATTAGGATTATGGACAGAAAATTGCCATACAAGTTATAAGGGGATAAATAAAAAGCAACTTGAAAAAAGGTAGTTACTATGTCATTACACCAGTACAAATATTTGGATATATCAGAAATACAACTCCAAATTTCTATTTAATATGTTGAAAATAATATTTATTATTTTATCTTATATCGATGAGGTCCAAAAACCAAATTCTGTAACGATATTCTGTAAGGAACATTTTTGTTTTGTGTTTTTTTTTTGAGTATTTGTAGGAGTGTTATTAGAGTCAGAGAAGCTCCGGAAAATTGCAAAAATAGACTAGAATTAATATAGTTTCACCAAAAATAAGTCCCAAAAGTCAATAAAACCCTGGGGTTTACAAAACAATAATTAGATAATTTATCAATGACCTATAGCTGAAAAATATCTTTCTATATGATTTAGTGACCCAAAAAGTTCCGCCAAATAAGTCAAAAGTATTTTGTGATAACCAATATAGTATATTATTTTTTATTTGTGCAACACTCTGGCTTCGATAGCACCCATGGCATCCTCTAAGAAAAAAAATTGTCTTATTAATACCATTTTTTTTCTCGGAGGAGGTCAGGGGTGGTGTTGAAGCCCGCGAAGTGTCAAAATACAAGAATATAATGAAAAATCTGGAAATAATCTGTTTGTAGATAAAAGTTCCACCAAAAATAAGTTTCAAAAATAATTTGTTATAACTAATACTACAGCATTATCTTTTATTTTTGCACTACTAGGACTTTAATACCACCCATGTCATCCACCTAGAAAAATCAGTATTAATAATACCTTTTTTCTCGGAGGAGGTCAGGGGTGGTGTTGAAGCCCACCTAGTGTCAAAATACAAGAACAATGTCGAAAATCTAGAGGTAATCCGTTCGTAGATAAAAGTTCCGCCAAAAATAAGTTTCAAAGGTATATTATGGCCAATAAATTCGATCAATAATTCATGAATGACCTATAGTTAATATATATTTTTCTAGTAACTTCAACGTGCTTCGGTCGTACTTTCAAGTGCAAAACGAGTTTCATATATACATGTATCGAATATGAATATATAAATAAAAGTAAAACATTACCTTGACAGTATACTAGATGTGCACTTAAAGCACATGCGAGCAAAATCCAAACATATTCTTGCATGATTGCTCAAAATATGAGTTTTAATCAATTTTAACCTTTTTGACACAAACACATGCACACGATATTTTAATAATAATTTTATTTACACATTTGACACTTGAAAGAAATAAATTCACAATTTTTTGCAGTTAATCAACCACTGATAGCCGTTAAAAGTCTTTAATAGTTGAAAAGTTAGCTTTAATTTTTCTACTATTGTTGCAAATGGAACACAACAACGGAGCAAAACATGTTTAAGAAGACTTTCCACATTGGAGTTCGTGAAGTGACTGACGCAAAAGCATTTTGTTGAAATTGTTTTTTGCCTTTCTCTTTGGCGAGGAGCCGCGTAATATATTTTAAAAAATAACGGGATACACAAGCGCGCGCGTTCTCTATACGTGCATGGCGGGACAATTGTTTGTTTGTGTTGACAACGTCATAAAGCAAGTAAATCCAAAAAAACAGATTTAAAAAAAAAATGAAACTTGGTAAATACATTTCTTATAACTCGCATTATATTCGTAAATTCTCAATTATTTACCACCTAAGTAAAATGTTTTTTGTACTTTATTTTAATATAAATTACGTCGTCATTAATAATTTAAAAAAAAACTTGAATTTAATTAATGACATCCTCAATTTCTATGAATAAATCACAAAATACGACATAAATTAGATTCAATAAAAGAAAATGTAAAAAATGCCTTCAAAATAAATATAGTGTCTTTCATAGTGTCAAGTTGGCAACATTTAAAACAGCTCACTTCAACTTATTTGTAATCATAGATAAAAGAAGAGTATAGAGTGTTTGTAATAGTCCAGTCATTAGAGTAAGTTTACCTCGGGATTCGAGATACCCAGCTAGGTACACCCTAACTTTAACTTAGGAAACATTTTAGTGTCAATATACAAGTATTTACAGACTTACAACTGGGTATCTCTAATTCAGAGATTCTTACCTAATTTATGCTTAAATGACTGGACTATAATAAGTTTAAGTATTTCCAAGAATTGACTATTTGCAATTAATTACAACAAATACCGATAAATAACAGCCAAAATAAGATTCAGATTTTATTTGTATTACTTGGTGTATCTCAAAATGTTATGAACTAAATAAAAGCTCTAAAGCAAACTCTAAAGCTTTCACAATGAAACCTATTTGTATGTTAGTTTGCCCATGTTAATTTATCTAGTCTGTTTGTTTCTTCTACAAACAACTAAAAACTTCAAGAATGTAAAATAATCTGATCTTCCATTTTTAAAACATTGCCAGTGATTAATCTATAGAATACTATAATATTATTCTAAGAATTGTAATATTATTTAACTCTTTTATGGTCACAGATTGTTATTTTTTATTATGAGGCAAAAACTTATACAACTATTAGAGTAATTAAATAGTTTAAATTTCACTTTATTCTGGATTTGTTCTATTTGTACTTTCAAAATACATGTACACATAAAAAGTTTTATTATTTTGTTTTAAAACTCTCTCAAATAACCATTGAATCATGATATATTAAGTCTTATTTATTCTTATTTGCTTAATATATGATAATATTTTTAAATTATTATTTTATCTTATCTATTAATTGAAGATTAATGTAGAATAAATTGTTTTCTTAACCTGACCCTGATATTATTATTTATAAATCGTGATTAATTATTATTTTAACAATTTTGAATTTGTATGCAAGTGGCAAAATTGCTTGAAGTTACATTTTATCCATATTTATTTATATAATCAAAGATCGCCCTCGAGCAACTAGCGACCAAAAAGGAAACTACTGTGACATATCGGCAGGCCTTATGTCAACTTTGACGTTATAATATTTACATATGTGAGAAGTTTCAAATATTCAAAATATAAATAATAACATTTAGAAATATGTATGTTTATCACCAATTATGAACTATAGTTTTTTATATTTAACATTGAATATTAAATTTTAATTTATTCATATAACCTCAAATTAAAACATAATGAATAATTAACCAACAGTTCAATTAAAATATTCAATGATGTAAAACATTTTTTGTATTGTGCATACTAATCACTACATATTTAAATTATATATAGAATTTAAAAAATGCATCAAACGAATTATATAAGAAGTCTTAGTGCTTCTTAAAAAATATAACCTGAAAGAAAATAATAATATAAAAATATTCTATTATATTACGCAAATTAATGACTCAATAAATCATGATTCAATGGTTATTCGATAGAGTTTCAAAACGAAGTAATGATAAAACTTCTTGTGTATACATGTATCTCAAAAGTGTAACTTTGCATAGCAACACAAACATTGAACAAATCCAGTATAAAGTGAAATGTAAACTATTTAATTAATTACTCAAATAGTTATATAAGTTTTTGCCTCATAATAAAAAATAACCATCCATGACCATAAAAGAGTTAGAATAATAAACCTATTCTTAAAAAATGTGGAAAATTGTGCAAAATCATTTTTACTCAGATTGCATAAAATAAGTAATAATGAGTGATACCGATAGACCTCAAAGTAGAGGTGAGGAAGCTCAAGCGAGTCCCAGAACCTCTTTTAGTTTTATTGGAGGACATATAGGAAGTGTAAATACTTCATCATCTGTATCACCTAGCACTAGTTCGAGTTCTTCTAGCAGCACAAAGACTGCTGTATCAGAATGTTTAAGTTCTTGGCTCAATTACTTACAGGTGATAATAATTAAATAATTCCATTCCAATGTCTATTACCGATACTTATCTATAAAGTAGTATAAATATGAAACACAATGATATTGTCATTGTTAGTAAACATGAAAGTAGGTAAATAATGAAGATTTCTCAGAATAAACTAATATCAATATTAGTATTACTATTAATTTGTTTATATATTCTACAGATTTTAAATTCATTATGTACTGCCGGTTTCAAATTATCGCAATCCTTATCTACTCTGGCACATTGTACACCAGACCAATCTGCGACTCAAACACCTTTAGGTATGAGTGGGCACAGTTTTTCAGGTGCTTCACAACCCGGATTAAATGTTCTTAGTGGTGGAGCAACAAGTGGCTCACTCAGTTCCGAAGGAATTAGTGGGACTTCAGGTAAATTAGATGTAAATATGTTTTTCAACTTTTTTGAGAAGAAAATCCGATGCCTTAATTGGCAATTAAGCCTTTCTCAATTTATATATCAATATTGAACATTGTAAAATTTGTGGTGTTGAATTTATAATAACATAATGAGAAAGGAATCATATATGATAATTCTTATAGAACTTTGTGATAATAAATAATGAATATAAATAATAAGTTTTTTTTGTACTTACAGGAGGTGCATTTATGACCGGTCCCCCTCCGCTATTACCTGCCTTGACTGGTTGGGATGAGCTGGCGCGTTCTACAGCTGTGGCAACTGCCACTGTTAAATGTCACATTGTAGCCCTGCTACAAGAATATTCATCTATACCTCAGCAACAGCATCCCCAGGCCGAAGGAGCTGCCGAACAGATTGGAGCTATGAGAGATAACAACTATGTGAGATAAATATAATATAAATTTTCCAAATAAATGATATATAAATAATCTAACAAATATATAAGTATCAGAATATTTTTATCAACTATTATCAAATTATTCGAAAATTACTTCAAATATAATTCTAATTATCAACTAATGATATTATTCTTATTTTTCTTTTAATGTAGCAAATTATCGCTGACAACATATCCACACTAGTGAACTTACAGTATCAATTTTGCATTGCCTGTTTCGAGTGTCTTTCACTGGCAGACATGTGTCAATGTTCATCAGGAGAATATCCTCCACAGGGAATGGCTGATAGCCCCAAAAGTGCAGCTGAAAGGGAAAGGTAAGGATAATAAACTCACTAATTTTATCCTAGTTTAAAACAATAATATTATATTTAAATATATATTTACCTTATCATTATGAAGAGCACACTATGAGCATCAACATCATGGAATGCCCCTTCACGAGACTGTCAGAGGTGGTGGTGGATATCATGAAACCCCTCCACCATTTAGAGGACCATCTCCAGTGGAACATCCAAGAGGTCCTAGTCCAATACAAGGATTTCTTGATACAATAAGGTATTTTTATGTAATTGAATTATATGAAAAATAGATCTTAATTTATACAAACACTAAATACTTACTGCCTTGAAAATTAACCTTTTAGAGGAAGTAGTCATTTGGAACATATGCGAGGGCCATTGCCCAATCCTGGTTTACTTCAAGGTATGAAAGCACCTTTCCACGGCGGTAGTGGAACAGGGGGTGCTTCAAGGGGTCTTAGAAGCCCTCTTCATTTTCCATTATTTCCACTACTCCAAGGTCAAAGACGATGGTCGGAAGCAGCGGCCGCGGAGGTATGTTATAATAATAATTTAAAAAGGCGCTGTTATTTCTTGCTGCTCATATCTAGTGTTTCTAGTCACATTTTTTCTGATATATGTGATAATAAATCATGAAGATATGATTTAATCATATATCATCTGTCTCCCAGGCCAGTGGTACCGCAGGCGGTGAAGATGCGTCCATGCGTCGCTGGTCCATGCCCTGGGATTCTGCACATGTCGCTGCACCTCATGGCCGATATCATTACTATCCGCCACATTATCACCATGTGACATCACATGCTAGTGGTTGCCACTATCCTCATCCTCAGCACCAAGCCCAAATAAGCGCGGGAGCGACGGCCAGAGGTTTGGGAGCAGTTGGGGGAGTATCCAAATTGAGCGTCCCAGTTGGAGGAGGCAGCGGCACTACGACGTCTTGCAGTGATCGCAGCAGATCAACCACACCTGGTAAGATATATATTTTTTAAATATATTTACGCGGAATATATGGAACGCGGACTTTAGTATTTCCATGGTCTGCAATATAACATACATATAACAATACTAAAGTCCGCATTTCAACTTCGAATTATTCAAAATTTTAATATCCAAATATAAATAATCTTATGATGTTATTGGGTGATCTGTTATATATACACATAACATGTGGTTTTCATATACTTATATATGGCTCAGACACGACTTTTAAAGTGAGCACTTAACCTTCTTAATTATGTAATTCAATAGAATACTACTATAAAATTAACTCAAAATCTACTATTATTATAGATTCAATTTGGCAGCCATCCAGCGGAAGTCAGGATGGCTTAGCAGAGGCTATTCAATTATTGTCCTGCAGACCTGGAATCAGACCATACAATCAGCTCACCAGCCAACAACAACCATCTTATCATTCACACATTCAAACCACAAATCAACCACCTGTGCCAAGTCAGAGCAGTGAACCATATCACTATCATCAAGATACGGTATGAATATATTTAAGTTGCTTTTTATAAACAAGAATTACTCCAATTATTTAAATAGAATTATTTTCTGTATAATAGTACCGGTCTGCAGGCAATGATTGATTTGAAATTCAATGAATAGAGAATTATTTTTATCTAAAAGATTTTTTTTATTAAGCTTATCTATTTTTGAAAGAAAGTCTAAAAAGACAAATCAAAATTACGATATTCTCTGTTATTTTAGGGCCAAATGCCATTCCTGTACAGTATGTGGAGCGGACATGAAAGATCAGGCTTACCTTTCATTCGACTTCCAGACATGCCGGAACAGCAGGTATTGCCTGACGAAACAGGTAGCTCTGAAACAAAAAAGCAGTCTAGTAATGTACACAAGCCCCCATAAATTAATTAAAAAACACGAGCATTACAATTGAATATTTTAAGTTATTTCATTTTAGTTTCACGCACAACTAAACAAGTTACCAAAAAGCATAGCAAAGTCAGGACTATATTTCAAAATAAAAATTAATGAAAATAAATTTTATTACTGAAGGACATTTAACATTCATTTATCAGTAAATTTCAATATAACTTTGGAAGTACTGCTACTTTCAGTAATTTTAGGAAATTATAATTGAAATAATGAGAAGCAAGATATTCTTGCAGAATGTTTGGAGTTAAGCATGAGATCTCATTTATGTTATTAAGACATTTTGATGTATAAATCAAATTTAAAAGTATAATGTTATTAAAAAATTGATTGAGATTTATGAACACGCAAGTAAATTTAATTTTTTGTTTAACTACTAACATAGCACAGTAAACTATGTGTAACATTTCAAAATAAAAAATTAATGTATGTTTAGTAATGTGATAATGCATTGCACAACTTTTACAAATAGAATATTAATAATAAATGTGCTTATTATTTTATAGCCGGTAACATGTGCTCTATGAAAAGTTCATAAGTAATACTCCACCATTTTTACATTTTATATGATCAATGTGAAATAATAGAAATAAATTTAATAATATGACTGACAGTTTTAAGTGCTGTACTTTAGAAATTTGAATATATAGTATGTCACATATATTGTAATATATCTGGTGAATAATGGTATAAATACAATTTTTATTCAAATTAATATCTTTAATAAATGAATGATAAAGATTTCATTCCGGTTTTCTATGTTTCTTTCCTTATATTTGTAGGTATGTCAATATTTTACCAGATTACCAATATATTAAATTTGCCTGATATACATATATTTAATTATTTGAAATTATTATAAGGTAATTTTAATTATACAACTTTATATACAATGTTTGATGATTTTTGCTGGCAAAATTTTCATGTTATGATAGTAATTATCTATAGATATATGCTAAATTTTATTTGTATAATGATGATGGTGCGTGTATTTGAAATGTATTAATTATACATAAATTAAATTCAATGTTAAAATGGTACTAAATAATACTGCCAAAGATCGTTAATAGGTAACATGTTTATATTAAGCTCAAATTTATTTAACCAAAAGATTTCTGAATAACATATCTGCTTTGTTAATGGAGAGTGCAATATTTATATAAAAATGCAGGTGTGGCTCTCAAATAATGGAATATATACTATTAACTGATACTACAAGCTATTTAAAAGACAATGTGAAATGAACCTAGCCCTAGTCAAGCATATTTCGATCAAATCAAATTTTGTTAAAAATTTTGAAACAAACTCAATAATAAGCAAATAATGTAATTGTAACTTGTCATTTTTCCCAAATGTAATTTTCTTTACATATTTTTTCACAACTACTTTAAAATTTCTTTTCTAAGTCAAAGTATCTCAAAGTCTACCTAATTATTATATATGCATATAAATACATTTCAATTTAAGTGATTTATGGATAAATCGACTTCAATAAATATGCATAGACAAAATTTCATCCTCAATGGCTCGCTGGTTGAGCACTTTAGATATACTTTTTCATAAGGACACTTAATTAACACTTCTTAATTAGATTATGAATGCATATGCGTTATATATGTCCTAGTTATAGTTTGAAAACTTTTTGAATTATTATGCATTCATAACTTATATTGTTTTAAAAAAGGCAATTTTTATAAGAATTGTAATAAAACTTAATGAAATAAAATGATGTGCTATTATTTATAGATCATACTGCAAATTTATAATGAATGTCTGATATTTAGTAATATTTAGGCAAAACATGTGAATGGACTTTGTTGATTGGTATTACAGTTGTCTTTTAATACCGTGGACTACTTTTATTCCCGTTTTATAAAATTTAATTATTTTGAGTAGCAAGACTAGACTTGAATTAAATGGAAGTAGTTACACAAACTATAATCAGTATGATGATAAGTTTATTTAATAAATCACAAATTTAATTACTTCATAATATTTTTCTCACAATAGATACCAAATTTCATTCATAATATTTTTACAAATAAGTAAGAGAACACAATTCATTTTATAATGATTATCAAAAAGTCGGCTATCTGTTGTTCACTGGAAAAAGAACCAAAACCATGAACCAGGTACAATTAGAATTTTATAATCTAACACTTACTATTAAATGTTCAATTGATATATACTTACGATCTTTTTGCAAATTGTGCAAGCATATTCTGATATATCTGTCAATGGTTCAGGTAAACATTTTATATGGCATCCATTTGATCCGCAAAACATGCATATTAAAATTTTCCACTCACTGCAAAAAAAAAATTCTATTATTGAACACTTCTCATACCGGAATCAACTTTAGGAAAATATGAAATATCTAGAGGCAATTGTTCTAAAAAAAACTTTGTGTATGTTGTACGGTATCAAAATATAGAATATTTCAATTTCTACAAATAGCTCATGAAGTAAAACCTGGCTTATCTTATTTATAAGATTCTAGGATGGTAAAAAAAAGTTGTCTTTTTAAAGTTTAGAAAAACAAGTAAATGAATCAAGTCAGGTAGGAGACTTAAAGGATTCTAATAGGGCAAGAATTAATTCTGATAATATTACTCTTAGTCTAAGTAGAGGATTCACATAGGATTCACGTCTCTTGTGAGAAACAACTTAAGTCCCGCAAATAAAGTTAGGGGAATAGACAATTAGACTAAACAAAACGTACGACAATAATGTTACCAAAACAGAATAATTCTACATTCTAATTCTATAAAATCTACAATACCTTTTCTACGATGGCAAAAATTGATTCTTATACAACTTCTACACAACACGTAACACTCGCGTCAAAAATCGTACAATATTTGATAGACTTATAAATGATTCAAGATGCGTGTTTCAAAAATAAACTACGAAAAACGATTTGCTATATATTATTACTTCTGAGGACTAAATTATATTCGTAACTGTTCATAACCCTCTTTTATAAACACGTGCAAAATAGTGGCGTCGGTTTTGTTGCGTTATCATTTATTATTTACTCCAATAGTTCACGAACTTCACACCTGTAGCGCTCAGGAGACGCGCGAAAATCAAACATTGCAGGTGTTTTGTATAAAGCATACATTCATTTTATACATATCTTGTAATTACTGTAATCTACCGAATAATACAAAAATATTAAGATAATTATTTAAAACTATTTCGTTTATATGAGATAACTTTACGTTTAATTCAAAATGTCTTTGAAATTTATGTTTAATGCCATGTGAATGGCATATAATTTTAGAATTGCTGTGAATATATTTAGTCCTCATATGAAATAGAAAACTTTCAATATTATTATTTTCTACTTAATAGTGAACCTAGTTATTTAAATGATTGATTGTAATTGCATTATCTATTCATCTAATAATCTAAATGAATTATGGCAATGTAAGAGCAATAATTGATACAATTACAACAAATTTAAATAAATATATTTACTAATAACTTCGACAATCATTTTACTCAATAGAATTCAATTAACTCACCTATTTTCTCTAGAAAAACTGCGAGATTTTGAATGTTTACATACATCAGCAATACACTGCTTTTTCTTTTGGTATAAGTAGTTAAAAGCATTATTGAATTCCCAAGAAGCATCTCTTAAAAATAGATTTATTTTATTACATCATATTAATATAAAAGGAATAAGTTGATATATGGGGATCTATACACTTACTGTTCGGGAATATAAATCCCAATATTTCTCAATTCTGCACAAAAATCATCAGTGTTTTTGCACATAGGACATGACACAAGTGAAGCAGATGAATATGCCCAAAACTAAAAATTTAACATTGAACTAATAATTTTGTTGGGGTTTACTATTCAATAAAAGTACCTGTAAACAATGACGATGAGCCCACTTGTTGCAACAAGGGACGTAAATGTTTAGAAAAGGTGTTACACGTTTTCCACAAAAGCAAATGTATTCATTTGGCATACATATACTTCCAAATACTGTGGGATGCAGCGGCATACTCTCTTGTTGGTAGTGATGATTATGACAAAATGTTCTAGGATAAAGCGAGAAAATATATTACAGTTTTTTTATTTACATATAGATTAGATATATCTGAATTAGATATTAATGAACTTACTTAAATTGCCCAAAATACTCAAATTTAGCATTTTTTCTAATACCGCAAATCATATGATAACGTACGGTACATCCACGAAACCGACAAGTGCTTGCGGCGCCGTAGTTTTTACAATAAGCGCATTTCTAAAGAACATATTAATTGAACAAAAAAATAATTAAATATGATATTTGAATATTATTAAATATTAATACTAACCCTTAGTAATGATGCATTATGACAATCAATTAAATCTCCAGTTCTGATTCCTGCACTGGAGCAAACTGCGTCGGAGAATTGCTGCGGGTTGGCAACATTAAAAAAAATAATCCAAATAAAAAAAATAATTTGTTTAGTTAGAAAAGTTCTGAAAAAGTTTTTTCCGCTTTAGAAAATCCGATTTGCTTTTTTCATATTTTCACAACTTTTCAAGTCATTCTGAATCGTTTTACACCAAAATTGAAAAAAAATGGGTGTGTTTGTGTCAATATATGACTTATGAATAACTTCATTGACATTTCCTTAAAAATGGCTGCACCGATTACAAAAATTTACAAGCCATTTGATAAAACTCGATAATATCTTGCGCTTATTAGTTTTGCGAGACGATCAGCCAAGCGGTTTCTTTATACTTAACCGTGAACTTTAAATTTTTTTTGCTAAAAATCCTAAATCGACTGTGAAAATTCAAAAACTTTCCGGAAGAAGACTGACAAGTTCCGGATACAGATTAGCCGTGCCATTTTTTCGTAAGTAAAATTTTTAATGCAACATTGTATAGAATTTATACAGTCTAAAAAAAATAAATATCATTGTCCAAATAGTAGTTTTACAGAAAAAAACTAAAGTTTAATATCATAAAGTCTTTGTTTGAAAGATATCAATTGGAAATTGCATTGAATAGTTTTAATGCATCTAAAAAAACAATATTTTCGAAATTAGTAGTTGAAAATTATATTTATAAATAGCTAAAACTATTTTCTTATTAATTAACACGATTATTTACACATATCCGCTGAGATTCATGCAACTGCCTTAAGGCACAATTACACTTACACCTCGATAGAAAATTGCTCATTAATAATGCATAAAGTAAAATTATAATAAAACTTACGATACAAAAATGGTGCATTGAAAGATTTTTCCTCTTGGTCTCTTTTCCCAGCATTATCATTTCATATGTTATTTCAGTTTCAAACTTTGATTTACACAGTAAACATAATTTATTCTTGTCGTTTTCCATTGAAAATATTAATATTTACAAAAATACGAAATACATAGACCACCAAGTAAGACTATCGAAATGCTACTAAATATTTTTACAAAGGATCGTATACCAACATGTAAGAAATCCCCACTTAATGGTTGAATGCAACAATGTTGCTCCAGCAACTGGTGTAACAGAACAATTTATAACTATAAAATTATAAAGAATTAGACTCATAGTTAAAATATTATTGAAAAGATTATAGTTTGCACTATAATGTAATAAACTATAGTCTACATTTTGCATTTTCAAAAAACATACATTTAAGAATCCAGAGTCGGATGCCTACAGAGTGAAAATGAGTCTTTAGTAATCCTTGCATTTACAATCATTTAATGTAACAACTTAATTTATTTACTTCTATTTAAGTAATTATAATCTGATTAGGAAAGCATTTACTTCTACTTGTAAGTAATTACAATGTGCTTAGGAAAGCATTTAGTAATTTTAGAGTGGAAGGATGGTAAAATGTTTCCCAACAGTAAGTATTTTAAATTTGAGCTTAAGGATAAAATAGAAAACAATTCGCCTTAATTAACCTCAATTATTTATAAGACTAGCTAAGTCTAGAGATCATTTCTCTTTAAGATCTAGTATAGTTGAAATTGTGATCAACAGACAACTTGATTATTTGTTTTGGGAGTTTTTCTAGTAACTCCTTGCACTTGGTTGCAATTCTTCGCACCTTATTAAATAAAATCTTATTAAAAAAAAAAGTCTAGAAATCTTTTTTCTTCTAAAATGTCTAGTTGAATTTATGGTCAGCAAATATTTGATGGCTAGTTGATTTGGGTATTTTTCTAGTAATTTCTTGCACTTGATTGCAATTCTCTACATCTTATTAGATAAAATTCTCAAAATCTTTTTTTTTTAAATGTCTAGTTGAATTTGTGCTCAGCAGATACTTGGCTATTTGTTTTGGGTGTTTTTCTAGTAATTGCTTGCACTTGGTTGCAATTCTTCAAAAAAGTCTAAAGATCATTTTTTTTAAGATGTCTAGTTAAATTTGTGGTCAGCAGATACTTGGCTATTTGTTTGGGTGATTTTCTAGTAATTCTTTGAACTTGGTTGCAATTATCCACATCTTTTTTAAAAAAAAGTCTAGAAATCGTTTTCTTTTAAGATGTCTAGTTGAATTTGTGGTAAGCAGATACTTGGCTATTGTTTCGCGTGGTTATTAGTAATTTCTTGCACTTTATCGCAGTTCTCCACATTTTTTAAAAAAATGTTTTAAATATATTATATTTAATTTGATTCCCACAAATCCTATGAATAAATTAAATATATAGTGTATAATTTAAGAACACCATGCATCCTCCTCTATGACTTGCCTAAATAAGGAGATAAGGCGAGTTATCTGATATTGAAAATATTTCGACACTCCATTTATTGTTGATGGTTTTCATTTTGCTAATATTATAATAATTCTTTGAGAAAAAATAGAGTAAAATCTCTATAGTTTACAATTATAACTAATATATATATTAGTTATAATTGTAAACTATAGAGATTTTACTCTAGTATATAATATATATATTAGTTATAATTGTAAACTATAGAGATTTTACTCTATTTTTTTCAAAGAATTATTATAATATTAGCAAATGAAAACACCATCAACAATAAAGAGTACAGTTTTTCGAAAGGGGTGGTTTCATAAAATATAGAGTGTTACTCATATAATTATTTTTTTTCAATGATATTTTATATTAATTACA